TGTTTCATGACACTTCCCCTACCCACGCCTGCCTTAACCCTTTGGTAGCTGCAAAAATTTCTCTGCGCCTCATTCAGAAACGTGTACAGGGCTGGAAACTTTCCATGTGTCTGTGAGTCTCACTCTGAATCTGTACTGTGGTGTTGGTGCAGATTGCAGGAGAAAAAGCAAAACAACATGTGAGGCACAGGGCAGGAATTCAAGATTGTGACAAGAGGAATAGAAGGAGAGGATTGTAAGAACTTCTTACTCCATTTCACAGTAAATCCTACGAAGTGCTTCGAGATGTCCTTCCAACGTGTTAAGGCGCTATACCAAATGCAGGGATTATTATTATTCTCCGAGAAAATTGTCAGGTTGTGGAATGATTTGCTGGGGAAGGCTATTAAGAGCAGAGTGGACTGGGCCATTCCAAAAAGAATAAGACAAACACTTGCACAATCAGAGGGTGGGGAAAAAGCAGGGAATTTGGATTAGAATGGATTGTTTCAGCATCCGAGACACTATCCTGCGTGAAGGGCACTCTGGTAATGCAAGTTGTTGTTGTTTCTTAGAGGACCAAATACAATAATAATCCTTGCATTTGATATAGCACCTTATCATTTCGTCTTCATGATGGAGAACTAGGCCAAATGGCCTCCTACTGTTGTGTGTTTCTGTGAATCTACGTAAAAAGCAATCTTCTTAGAAGGTTAAGTTTTAATCCCTTCCTCGCGAAACAACAGCAATATCACCCTGACATCCTGCAGGGAATCTTTTATTGCCAAAATTTTTCTTCAAATTAGAAAACAAACTTCTCCATGCAGTAATTGTTTTAGGGTTACTAAGAGCTCCGCACCCACATGGCCCAATAAGCAATGGCAACACTGGTCCATTCAACCAGAAAACTGCAGGTTCAAATCAATCCCCACACCATGTTATTTGAGGCAGTTGCGTGGGCCCTCAAAATGTCCTTTTTCCTTGTAGCTAGAGGAAAAAATCAGTAAGGAAAATAACATACATTTATGCAGGATAGTGTCTCGGAGCCCTGCACATTGGCGGACTTGAACCCCAAACAAGGGAAGCAGGAGGGGACCTTAGGCATGTGTTTGCTAAGCATAGGGGATAGGCAGAGGAGTGGGATACGAGCAAGTTGGAGAGATAGGGAGGTATTAGGGAGTGAAGGGATTTGAACATGAAGGTGAGGATCTTGAAGTCAATCCATTTGGAGACAGTAGAGTCTGGTGAGGATTGGGGAAATGAGTGTTGGAGTTTGGTGTCGGTGAGGAAACGGGCAGAGGAGTTCAGTATCACATGGAGCTTGTGGATGATGGAACTGAGTTGACCAGTGAGGAGAGGATTTGAGAAACCAATGTGGAAAGTGACAAAGACAGGGAATAAATTGTATGAAGATCCCCAACTGGCTTGCTTGATGCCCAGTGTGAAACAAGCTGTATTTTGTAGGCAATAGCAGCAGTCATTTTTGCGCCTCACCAAGGTCCCACAAATGGCCACGGGGTGAATGACTGTTTACTCGGGAGGATTGCTGGCCAGGACATTGCGGGACATCAGCACTCTATACCCCTGTACCGGCTGAGTACTTAGTTCTTAGCTGGTGATGAACAACCTATATATAGCTCTAGCTATAACTGTACTGGCTGGGAATCTATACCCATGCTGATGGCACAAGTTGTTCTGTTTATCAGTGGCTCTCATGAAATTGTGGTTCCCAACATTTCACAAGGTTGTACCTCCACACGGATGGTCACAGGCGAGGAGGAAGGGTCAGGTTCAACTGCATCCCATCAGTGAGTCTCCGCGACTGACAAGCGGTTAATGTTTTGAGTGATTGAAGTCAGTATTTCGGCACTCTCTATTCTGCATTTCCTGCATTCCATCAAGCAGCTATATTTCCACTTCCTGCGACATTCAGAATCTGTTCCCAACTTTGTGTGTCTGTCTGGTGGGCAGCAATGCCCACACTCCCTGTGTTTATTGGGCAGTCCTGCCCCACTTATTGTGTTGATTTTAGCACTGGTAAAACGATGGGCAGGGAGGGAGCGCTTGATTTCTCGTCCGGCACTCCCTGACGTGCACATTGACTCCCAAAAACTGTTATTTCAGCAGTGGAACATCCTCCCAGCAGGTACTGCTTTTCATCACTTAGTATCCACCAGATAATAAGGGAAACTTACGTTCCCAAAAGTGATTTTTGAGCTTTCCCTGGAGTATTCCTTGAAATAATGGCAGGGTTCAAATGTGTATTATCTTTATCCACAGGCTGTTGTTTCTAATCAGACATTACATTTTCAAAAGCCACCCAATATTTTGCCCACAGGGTTGAGAGGACAGACCCACTTTTGTTTCTCTTTAGCTTTCCACCGTTAAACATTTTCCTGTCCTAAGCGTGACGGAGCTTTAAAGAACCATAAAGATCCCCGATCTGTTATTTTCCAAAGCGTTCACTATTCTGGATGTGCAGCTGGAGTGTGGCCCAATATGTCCTTGTATGTGAAGGGTTGTATTAAAATGACACTGTGGTCCCAGTTACATGTCAGTGAGATTTTAGTGCAGAATGTAAAGCTTTCAGTTCACGTGAAGGGAATAGCTTTGCTTCCTCTGGGCTTTATCCCTTAATGGTAGCGTCAATCCCAACCCTGCTGTGGAACTCTGAGGAGGATTTCCCTGCTCTAAAAATTGCCAGAACTTTTAAAAATTCATTCATTGCCCATTTTTCTCTTTACCCAACTGTCTCTCATAACTGAAATTTGTAGCTTTCCCCTGCATATGAACGGGGGGAGCTTTGCCCACTAATCCCATACCAGTCCCTAACCAGTCACTTAGAACCATAGGAAGGAGAGCTGGGAGGTGCGAGAGATGCATTTACAGATTCAGAGTTAAGTGCCGTTCTAAATCAATACATTGCCGTCCCCACCCCACTCCCTGAGCAACTTCTGTCTGACTGCGAATTTCCTGAAAGTTCCAAGATTTTATATGGGATGTTGCGAAGAATTGAGCTGACAAGAATTGAGGCATGAAATTGTACCTCGTCTTATCCTGTAAGACCATTTTGAGCTCAAATTTAAGGCGATGCAGAATTGTGTAAAATTCGTAAAATCAATCTTAATTTGAAAATCGGTTTCCAGCAGTTCTTAACAAGAACCGGCAAGAAATTAAGATCGAACTTTTTTTTTGAAAAGTCAACAATTCAGCATGTTAAATGTTAAGGCAAAATTAGCTAACGCTAGATGGAATTTCAGCCCTTTGTGACTCAGTTGATAAAGGCACAACTCGTCAGTGTGGAATTCAGGCTGTCAAAGCAGGAAGGTCCCACGTTTTGATTCAGTGTCTTTGATCTCAGTAGGAGACGGCTACAAATAGCCTCCGGTTTCTTGCTCCTGATCATTATTGAATGATTCCCACTGGAATGTGGCCATCAGAGTAAGGACGTCAGTGATGCCCTCACATTTGCGTAGTCTGTCAACTCGCAGCTCAAACTCGCACAAGCAACGCTGTGGAGCTGTCTCCCGGCGCAGGTCAGCAACTTCTGGATAAGAGTAGAGGGAATTGGGGAAAAATTGCCTTTGAGGGAGGAAAGCAAGAAATTTGCTGACAAGAGACTGATTCTTAAATGCTGGCAACTGAGCACTGATGGCAGCTATTAGATTATAGCGCGAATACTATTCTGACATTGAGAATCTGAATGCAGTCACAAGATTAAGATCACGGCTCTTAACTGAAGTCACTCCTTGTAGCACAACACTGATGTTACCAATCGACTCTTGTTAAAATGTTCAGGATTAAACTCTTAAACTCGCAATATAAACCACAACAAAACATAGCACTGCACCAGCATGCTGCCAGCCAAAGTTCATCAATGAGTTACCTTTAATCTTATCCTCTGCTGTTGCTCATATTAAAGCTGGCAGTTCTTCAAAACCCGTAGAAACCTGCACCATTGTGAACAGCAGCCATCTCATTGCTCTGTCTTGTATAAATTGCACCTTCTATAATTTTAGTTGAGTCTTAACAAATTAGTACTCTGGTCCACTGGGCTGGAGTTGATTTGCTCATAGATTTTTCCCTCACAGCTAATGTCCAATTATGTCTGAGGTCCTGTCTACCTGTTTATGTGGACATTAAAATTCATGGCCCTATTAGCAAAGAGAAGGGAGTTTTTCTCTCTCAGTGCCCTGGCCAACAATCCCCCAAATAAAATTGGCTGTTCAATTCATGGTTCATTGCTATGTGCAGATTAGCTGCTGCCTTCGCCCACAAGAAACACAGAGTCACTGTTTTACAGTATATCCTGTGATCGCTTTGAGAAGTCCTCTCGCCATGAAAGGCACTGGATTCAATGTAAGGATCGTGCTGCTCCGTGTATGAAAAGAGCCTTTTATAGTAAAGCAACTACGTATTTGGGAGATTCCCTCAATGGCTTAGTGGGTAAATGTACCATGGTGTGATACTGAGCCAGGCAGACCCAGAATATTCCAGGTTCTGTACCTGAACTACACAGAGCTAGCTGATTTCAGCAAAGGGAGTGTAATTGTCATTAGCCCTGGTGTTCCTGAACTGGGGAGGATAACAATATCACACACTGTTCTGGCTTTTGATTGCTGTTCCAGCAACTCCTTCTAGAGAAAAAGTTAAATACATAATCTTGATAGAGTTTCATCAGCCTCTTCAACCTTGGAGAGTATCAAAATCTGAGACCCGTGTTATTCTTATACAGTGTCTCCACAGGCACACATACACTCTCTCTCTATCTCTCTCTCCAGCAGTTATTAGATAGCAGTCGGGAGTGGGGAGATACAGCTGACTTTCTATTCCCTAGCCCAGGATGCTGAGGTGGTTTATAGAGCACCAACAGCTGTGCCCTCGGCTGAGATCAACACATTCAGCACAGACCAGGAATCAAACCCTGAACGTTCTGGCTCAGCATTCCACTGAACAGTGCCATCAGGAGAGCCTTGATCTTCTAATTTCTAACCCTTCTCTTTATTTTCCGTCCATGACAGGCAGTATTAGAAGATCAGACATTCAAGAGACAGATCGAGATTGAGATTACGCCGGTCTTTCTCGTGCCAGATACCAATGGATTTATTGATCACCTCCCAGGCCTGGTCAAGCTGTTGGACACTAGACTGTACATCATCGTGGTTCCACTTATTGGTAAATATATTCTTCACTCTCCACCCCCCCTTCCCTCGCCCCCCCCCCCCCCCCTCCCCACCCATGCATAAGCATGGTCTGTGTGTGGTCTGGCAAGAAAGAAGAGAGCAGTAAATTGATGAGATGCCTTGTAGCTGACCGTACTAAAATGGCCAGCACCAGGTTACATCTGGTGTTTTTTTTAAGGGTCTCTTAAAGAGTGTGTCACAGTAAACTAGCAGGAATGTGAGAGAAACCCTTCAGAAACAAAACGAACTTAATCCTACGGTCAATGTTGATAATATCGCTCCCCAGTGATGTGATAATTCACTGCAGCGAATAAATCTAGATTAAAAGATGGGTAGGAGTGAGTTCGAAAATGTTTTAACTGATGTCATCAACCGCAAGCACGAAACTCGAGCGATTTATACGGTCGTCGGAGCCCCAGGTTGTGCAACGTCCCAGACCTCATGGCCAGCAGCTTATATTTATTATTATATATTGAGCACTTCTTGTTTTTCCTTTCTTTTTGGAGAGCTTTTCTATTGCAGCTTTGCCTGTCGGACTCGTCTCTTCTGTTTCTTCCATTGCGTTTCTTCCATTGCAGCCACGGTTTGCAAATGCCACACAAGAGGGAGTGTGGCAAGAAATCAAACTGCACTGTTCCATTTTATGAACACAAAGCCCAGTCGCACTTAAACCGTCACGTTCTCTTTTCTAAGCATATTCAGTGGCCTCCGTATTCAGCGCTCAACCCTCACCCCTCCTTTCCCATTGTAATTTATACCAAGGCTATAGATCTGGATCTCATGCTCTAAATCACACCTCTTCTCACAGTAGCCTTGTATCGCCTAATTATTCACATCAGACCACACACTTGCCCTCTTAACAGATCTCACAGGCAGCAAGAAATAAGGCAAAAATTGTATCAGTGCAAGATGGAGTCTTCCTTGAATGCGTTCTCTGAGAGTGTTGCAGTATTGTGGGTTCTGATGATGTATCTTTGAAGCACTTTGATAATGTCCACTGGACAAATACTTGCCATCAAAATACTAACTGTACAGACATATGGAGCATCACACCTAAGGAGCTCAGAGATGCTCACAAACAGATGCTTGGTGGAACTCTGATGATCAGATTCATTCCAAGAACGTGGCTTCCTCCTCAGCTGGGTGCCCTGTGTGGGGGCTGTACGGTGACAGCCATTCTGTGGTGAGGTTGGCAGGTTACAGCTGTTTTACAGGTTCAGATGGAGGAAGCACAATGCCAGTTGTGTGCTCAGAACTAAAAACAACTTCAGGTGGGAGAGAGAGGCACTCTTGTCAATCTGAGATGCAGCTGGCATTTCACTGCCAACAGTTTAGAGTAGCAATAAAGGAGGCAGTGAGTGACGTCTTACTCTATGTGGTGATAAATGACCATAAAGTATACATCTCTCTGGACAGTGTCTGTCCCCGTATTAGAAGCGTAAGAACTGCACTACTGTACTTTACCTCCCAAATCACACAGAACGAATAACCTTCAGAACTGGATGTGAAGCCAGAGAATGGGAAGCAAAATGTTCAATCCATCTGCCCTAGCTTGGTTCAGTTTCAGATCTTAGAAATGAAAGGTCTGCACTTAAAACATTCCACCATCTTTCTCCTCTCCAAACGAAGAGATCTCTTTGCCCTTTGAGCTCGATCCAAATCTAGCTTTCAAATAAAGTTCAGGAATCGCCACCCAGTCTGACATAGAGCAAGAGGAGAGGCTTCAGTCCATCTGTCTGGGTCTGATTCAAAGCCGAGCCCCAGAGGTAAGGCCAGTGTTCTAACCCACTGCACCACCCAGTGTTCATGAAGAGCGCTTTGAGAGCTGTACTTGCTCTGTTGTGGGGGTTTGGTGAGAGGAGCAGCTGCTGGATATCACATGATGCTGTTGATCTACGCCAGCTCCTTCCACCTAAGGTTCTGAATGCTGAGTTATCCACCAAAGTATTGAGTCATTTGGAGGCAGAATCACTTAAGGGAAAATTAACAAAAGGCTAACTTCTTCAAACAAGAGCTGAATAAGTATTTGCTGAAGATCGGTGTTTGACAGTGGAGGGCAAGGTGCAGGCAGCAACGTACACCACACATAGAGGCCAGAGTGTAGGTTTCACAAGATCTGGAAGAAGTGGGATCTCAAGGTGATATTTGCTCTGTCTCGTTTTCTTTCATTCCTCCCCCTCCTTCAATTTGATATGAAACAAAAAGAAATGTTACCCACCTCTTAAGGTTCTGGGATCAACAAAACTTAGGATCATGGCTGCTGTCCAGCTGCAGAATATCTTGTAGAGCATGTCGCCAATTGTTTCTTGCACCAGAGTGCTCAAATAAGAAATGTTGCAAGATGAACTGGTAGTTTCGACTTTTTTTTGCTGGAAAAGAGATGTTTAAGAGGGGACCTAATCGAGGTGTTTCAAATTCTAAAGGGATGTAATAAGGTTAGCAGACTGATTGGGATGTCCCCAACCAGGGACCACAGATGTCAGATAGTTATTAGGGAATCTAAAAGAAAATTTAGGAGGAACTACCTTCCGCAGAGGGTAGTGAGTTAAAGGGGGAAATGAGGGAGTAAGGAATGGGTGAGGACTCGTGGAGTATAAACACTGGGTGAGTGGCCTGTTTCCGTGCTGTAAATCTTTGTAATACTTCTGGGTACAGAGCAACAGACCTGATAGTGTCAGCAAGTGACTAGAACATTGGATTTTCAATAGGTTATTCGGATCCAAGTTTCATGTCACACTCCACTGATCTTGGCACTTAAGTTACTCCTTGAGGGTGAGTTTGTAAAATCAAGGCAAAGTCATCTGTGGGAGCAGCTGGCTCAGGGGGAGGGAAGCTGTGCCCACATCTCCTAGTTGGGTCAAATGTGGAGTAGTATTGGCTGTGTCGATTAAAACATCCTGAAACTGAACTGTCCAGCCTCCTCTCCCCCCCCCCCCGCCCCAGTTGAGGAGGATAACATGTGGGGGTGGAAGTGAAGGAAGAGCATCACAAAGTCTTCAAAATCAACAAACTACGCAGAGAAGAGTGTCAAAAATCAGACGTGGGTGGCGGAAGCAGGAAAAGAAGAGCATTTCTGTCATGACGGCCCAAGCCCGTGTTCCTTTGTTGTCTTCGCTGTGGACTGACTGTCAGTGACTGAGTGATGAACTGATTTTAACATTGCTGTTTCCTTTTAGAAATTCTTCAACTTCCTTCGAGTGTTTATAGTGAAAACAAAGTCATGTGTTTGTCAGCCTATTTAAAGTGGGGCAGGGAACATGTATACAGTGAAAGTTGATGAGAGACATACTGACACGAGCTCAAACCACTGGCAATGCAGCAACAATAGTGATTACACACAGGGCGTCACTGCCAATTACCTGTTTCCTATATATTCTTTTGAACTCGCGGTGGAGAATTTGAAGGAGTGTTATTGCCAAAATTGCAAGCCAGGAATTCCTGAGGTCAGTTCAGGAATAGTCATTTTCTGTTAAGACAAGGACAGTTTGTCAAGGAAAAAGCTCAATCAGGAATTCCTTTTGATGAATTGATCACAGAGACAAATTGATTCTATGTGCCAGTCATATCGTAATCGTCAGCCCATTCAGGGCTAGCATACTGCAGATGTTCTACCTGCCCAAGTCACTGTGGTTTGAGGTTCAATCCCAGTAAAGCAAGTCTCTTGCACATGTAGCCCTTCACTGTGGAACGCTGAATGTCATTTAAGTTCTTCAAAGTTATTAAAGAGCCACGAGCACCTCCAGCTCTCTTCTAATGATAGAGTCTAATAACTATCGAGAACTTTTAAATTTAAATGCCTTTGAATCTAAAAGTTGGCCGCAGTCAGGCAGGACTTATTATACTGCACCTGATGTGCATTGATTTGATTCTGAAACTATCGCCTGGAGGGGGGTCTAGCCTCCCTACCCAAATTGAATCGATGCAAACTGCATAGCATAAACCACATGTTTTTATGATGACGAATCTATTAAGCCCAATGGAGTACCTAAAATCCTACAGCGAAATATTCTAGTTGTTTGTCATCCCATTCAGAGAGGGAGCTTCCCTGCTTTCACTGTCCAGTGTGATTGAAGATGAACCTCGCTTAGATAAGGAGAAGCTTGCTCATCTTGTAGCGCCTTTGAAATAACTGTAAAGATCTGACCTGAAAACAAAAGTGCTTTAGCAGAATTTGCGATAAATTGGATTGCTCTTTTGGTATTCCTCAAGTGGTTCTTAAACACTAAAAGTTTCTGACCACAATCCTTTAAAGCTAAGCACGTGCCAATTGGGAGACTGCACTGTGTAGCTAGATTGAGATGTCTGGACAATCTGTCACACATCATGGGAACATAATTCAGCAACTCTTCCTCTTACGTTCAAAAGGCACCGACAGCAGCAAAACTGACAGTGTCATTCGTGACTCCTCAGCTCCTGTGTATTGATTCTCTAGAAATCATAACGTAATGGTCCACAAAGCCAAGAATTTGTGTTTTGGAATTTCACTTGTTGTTTGCAATATTTTCTCTTCAAATGTGTGTTAACTTGTCTTAATTAATAGTTAAATCCAATCCAGCAAATGCCTCAGGAGTGGGAGAAATTGTCAGGGTAAAGGAATCAATGGATTTAGACACATTTTGGATGAGCAGGTCTGGGGGCAGAGACAGTTAATGTTTAGGAAGAGTTGGGCAATGAACAGACCCCAGACCAAGCCAGGGTAAGTGTCTCTCATGGAAATTAATGATCTAGAGCAGAAAAGATATCATTTCAATACAGTGTGCAAAATAATCTTCTTAAATGCCTAGAGTGAAGAATATATTTACCATATTCATTTGTTTAGACAAGATCTAGCCAGTGGCAGAATGTGGTACATATGCTCTTAAACATCAACCACAGCAACTCCTTCAACTGCCTGTCAGTGGTGTCATTCAAAAGCCAATGGTTTCTGTGCAGCTGTGAGGTGCAGGTTTACTCCGCCACATATGGCACGATCTGCTTCAGGCAACACAGAGAGAAAACTGACAGCCATTGCCATCTAGTTCAATCATGCAGCTTACTGCCAATTTGGAATGATATGAATTTGATGCTATAATCACATAGAGATAGGAATTTACATCAGACCTACATCCCCGGGACTGAAGGGAGGACTATGGCAGTTATTGTTTGGACCAAGATCCATCCAGAGACATATTGCTTGCCAGGACCTATCTGGCCTCTGGTGCATCTCCTTACATACTTTGTTAAGATGCCCAGTGTATTACATAATGACTTGCTTATTGTCAGCCCATCTCTTAATTTTCCCCCATATCCATTTCAGCTTTGGATTATTATTGTAGCATCCCTTACTTTGGGAGGGGAGTTTAGAAACCAGACTCTCAATATTTTTGCTTCCAGAACATGACGTGCTGTGGTGAAGCCAGTGGTCAGAAATCCCTTAGAATGAGGGAATCTAGCTTCTAGTCATTTTTATAACCGTAAAAAATTATAGCACATAAAAGGCCATTTGGCCCATTATGGTCTAGCTGGCTGTTTGAAAGAGCAATCCATTCAATGTCATTTACCTGTCTTTTTTTCTCCAAACCCCTGCAAATTATTCCTTTTTTAGATATCTATCTAGTTGCTTCTCGAGAGCTAATTATGGATTTTGCCTCGACCACCATACTCAGAAGAGCAGCCACATTCTAATAGCTCTCTTAATAACACTCCTTGCATTCGATATGGCACCTTATCAGCCATCAAAATGTCTCAAAGCACTTCACAGGATTACCTGTGAAATTTAGTGTATGTATACTTTAGGCGAATGCAGCAGCCAATTTGCGCACAGCAATGTCCCACAAAGAGCCATAAAGTGGAAGTTTAAAAAAAAAGTACCTCCTGATCTCCCCCCCCCCCCCCGTTGTTCCTTTGGTAATTATATTAAATTGATGCCTTCTAGTCATGGACTCACCAACTAGTGGAAATAATGGCTTGCTATCTTCTCTATCAACCCCCTCATCATTTTATATCATAATTCGGATGCCAGAGCCTCAGTTTGAAATGGTCTTCGAAATAGTCACTAATAGTTTTAAGATGTCTCAGAGCTCCTCAACTATCCTCATGAAAATACTTGGGAGTCATCATAACTAGTATTTGTAGCCTTTTCTGTTCACCAAACCTTGCAATACTGCAGGACTTGGAAAGATAATAATAATAATAATCCTTACATTTGATATAGCGCCTTATCACTGCGTTGAGACGAATCAAAGCGCTTCACAGAATATACTGTAAAGTGTAGTGACTGTACCTTGAAGCCTTGAAGTATAAAGTAATTCAAATATGGGTTAGATTCAATTTTCTAGATTTCTCTGTTAGTTTCTGATGTTCCATTGGTGATCCCTGTTCCTTCTGCAAAGTGCAAATTTATGATGGACCCAATTCAGCTACAATGAACCACAAAGTGACTTTGCTTTCTCATCGTGAACACCTGCATCAACATATGGTATTGGCTTCAATACAGACATGGCAGCAGTAGACTATACTTCTTGAATACAGTGGAAATCTTAGAGCAAGTAACTAATGAGAGATCTATAAAGTGGGTATAATTTATACGGGGTTAAAGCTAGAATTGATGGGAAGTTAGTGCTAGCTCAACCACTGGATTGTAAATATGAATAGGAAGCAGGTATTGATGCAGAGGTTAATAGTCAGAGAGGTTAATAGGGGGAGGATGAGTAAGGTCCGTTCTGGGCCTTCTGCTGTTCATGTTGACTTGGAGGAAAACAATCCCTTCAATATTGAAACTCACTGATAAAGCCGGATTATGGACAAGTGACTAATGTAGGAGAATGAATAACATTCAATTAAGTAGACAGGTCAGGGAATTTTAGGTGGATTGTAAGATAGATATATGCAAGTAAGACGTATTCAATCAAGTAATGCAAAATAAAGGGATAACTATTGCCAGGAGTGGAAAGGGAAAGGATAGGTCATTTACTGAAGGCTTCCATTAATGTGCTGCAGTCAATTTGCCTTTAACTTGGAATTGGTTGGACCACATTTGGTGTATTATGCAATTTTGGGCATCCTACCATCAAAAGATCAATGTAATGTTGGAGAGGGTTCAGAGAATCAACAGGGATGATTCTGGGGCTTCCAAGTTCTAGAGAGAATCGGAGAGCTGAACTTGTTCTAATTAGAAGAAAGATTGAAGGAACGTGATCCAGGACTTTAAAATGAAGCAAGCCACAGATGAGGTAGATGTAAGCAGGCTATTTGACGTTGACCTTGAGGGCAAATTGCTTCAATATGGTGAAGGTTTAACCGCCAAGCGATTCACGTTAAAAGTTCGGAAGTTAGGAGCAAAAAGTGAAGTCAGAGGAAAAGTTTTTTACACAAAGGGTAATTGACTTCTGGAATAAGTTAACAAAAGACCATTCAAATAGACAGTATAATTGAGTTCAAGAAGATATAGGATGTGTTACTGGAAAGCGAAGGGATTTGAGGGATATGGTCAGAAAACCAATAGGTGAGAACTATCAAAAAGGGACATCATTGTTGGACATAATTGTCTTAATCTATTCTAGAGCATTTTAGTTTGTGTACATGTAGCAAGAATACAATTCAATAACTAAAACTTACTGTGCTGTTAGTAACGTATCACCCAATGCCCCAGCCCATAGCAGAAAGGGAGACTGATGAAGGGAACGGAGGGACGTGTGTATTTGGACATTACCACTGGATAGAGAGTAAGTGAAACAAAGACAGATTACGCCCTCCCCCTCCGAAATTGCCCCAATGACTTGCTCGGAATATGGAAAGCAGGGTTGCCAAGTGTAATCACAGAACATTTATGGTCCAATGCAGCACATTCTGGTTAACTGCCCTTAAGAACGCTGTCAAGGAGGAAGGTTAGCGATGTGAATGTGTGCCCTTCGTACTCGGTGCAGTTGCCTTTTGGCTTTGATATTGAACGCTGAGGTGCGGCCGCAACAGCTGCTGGGATCCTGGCAGAGGCACGGCGGTCTGGCTTCAGCATTAGCGACTCGTGGCCCTGCTCTGGTAATCGTCTGGTGGAAGACTGACAGCCCAGACACATTTCTCTGAAGTTGTAGGAGCTACAATCTGGCTTAGCGTAGCAGTTAACCTCCGAGTTACCTTTTCTGTGAAGGGAGTGATTTGGCTGCTGAGCCAGTTTGTGCACAATTGGAAAATCCTATCGTTTTTTTTTGAAATTTCAGGTCAGATTTAATCTGAGTTCAGTGATGTTTTATGGGGATATTGTTCTCAATCATCTGTGTTTTCTGCTTCTGTTTTGTGGCACATCAGTTAGTTGTGGGATTAGGAATGGCAAAAGACTTTTGTTAGTACAGTTTCCCAATGTTTGGGTTTCTTCCACCTCCTCGCATACATGATTGTGAAATACGTATTACCTTTTCATAGATTAGTGACCAGTCACTGGGACCTTGGAGTCATCCCACTCAGCTCCTGTTAACCCTGCAAACCAGACCCCTAACGGGTAGGTTCCTAGCTGGACAATCAGCGGGAAAGCTTGCCAGACAGAAATATCAATAGTATGGTAAGGCATTAGTTGGTTAGACTCCAGCAGTTACCCCAACGCAAACTCGGGTCCCCAAGCCTTGACTCTTGCCAACCTGCCCCTAATACTTTCCAGAATTAGGTAAGCAGGATGCATCCCTCCAGTGGGCATTCCATTCCAACAATCTATCTCTGACATTTCCATGTGGTTGTGGGTTACATGAAATTCCCAGTTTGGTTTGGATACTCTTTCTTGAGCAAGGTGATGGGTTTCCGCATGTGTCAAACACCTCGCTGACAAAAACACAGATTAAGGTGTTGAAAGAATTGTGGATGAACTGTAATATTGTTCCCCCCCATTCCACCCTAAAAATATTACACAGGGCATTGTAAGAAATCTAGTCCGTTCGTCTTTGTTATCCTAGAATCTGAGAGCACGAATTTTTTCTGCGCAACAGCTAAACTGAGCTACCGGATGACTGGTGGGCATGGGTTTCGAATAACATTGATAAAAGACCAGTGACGAGTTGTGCCACTTTTTCCCAAGGAATCCCACTACAGTGTCACCTTTTTCAGCCATCAGCCATCATCTGCTTTACCCATTACAACGTGAACGTAACTGCCAAATGTTTCTCGCTAAAGAAAACCTTGTACCTCTGCAAGGTCGAGGTCATAGGCAAGATCCTGGCTAATGTATATCACACAAGTTGTTGACCAATCTTTCACCCCACTTATCCATCCACAATCTAGTTCCAGTCATATGCTACAGTAAGTCTCTCCAATGGGGAGTTAATCACTCTCTAGCGGTTGCAAACATTAAGTTGGTCAGTAATGCTGAATAGCCCTTGACGAGTTAAGCAACCTTAAGCTGAGCAAAGCTTTACCTGAACATACAAGTTCCTTGCTGCATTGCCAGTAGGCATAGCTGAAGAAGCTTGATCTTCTTCAGAGGAAATTAACCCACAGTTTATTCACTGGATGCCATTGACCGTCTGTCACTTGTCTGATTTGGGACTAGATATGTTTTGAAGAAGACTTCACAGTCTGTGCAGTTTCAAACTCGAAGTGTTAACATAATGATATTTTGGACAATTTCCTGCCTTTTCATATACTGGATGCGGAATTGACAGAGTTATCTGTGCTGTTTTATGTTTCAGTGATAAACGAGTTGGATGGTCTGGCTAAAGGCCAGGATCCAGACTACTGCGGTGGAAACCATGCCAAAGTGGTGCAGGAAAAAGCCAAGAAAGCCATCGATTTCCTTGAGCAAAAGTTTGAGACCCGTGATTCATGTCTGCGAGCTCTAACCAGCAGAGGTAATGAGCTGGAGTCCATAGCGTTCCGAAGTGAGGATACAACAGGACAGCAGGTAACACAAAAGCACTCCAGCACAAAGCTCTCACAAACACAGTCATTCATCAGGTCGAATCCTTCAAATGTTCTGACTGGGGGTTTGGTTATCTGCTAATCAAACAGTAATCTTTGCATCTGAGAAGGCTGAAATGTCTCAAAGCGTTCCACAAATGTTGAGTGAAATTGATTGTGTATCTATCTGTAGGTGAATTGTTAAGGGCAAACCTCCTCAGTGTATAGGGCCACAATTAGTTACTGTTGTGTCTAAAACCTGGCAACGGACACATCCAGTCAACATAGATGATTGGAGTCTGTAACCCATCCTGTGTTTCACAAGACATCCATAACCATTGAGGAGGTTTGAGGACTGGCAGCTGAGAGACTGGTTTCACTGTGACTCGCTCCACTTCATTCCTTACTCCCGTGTTACTGGAGGTACAGCAGGACAGACAGTCACACCTGCAGTACTTTCATAAGGCCTTTTTTTTGGGCCTGCCTGCCCCAGAATCCGCAAGGCAGAATGAATAAGATGTTGAGAAATTATGATTGCTTTTGGTTACACAAAAAACATCTGGCGAGGGAGGGAGGGAAATCAAAGAGGTTGAAATGCCCCTCAAATAACTGATTAAATCTGCAACTCTTACTGCAGACAGCTGTCGCTTGTTCTTGGAAACGTTGCCTTGTTGGTACTGGCTTCACCCTGCAGTTTTTTTCCTATGATGCCATTCTTGGCTCTCGGAACCTGCCCGATCATGTCTGAAAGAGACGTGTTGCCCTCAGACACAAATGATAAATTACTTTTTTTTAATATGTATGTGTACGTATGTATGTGTAGTATGTGTACAATACACAAGACTTTTTAACATTTCTGTGAGTTTTACCACTTGTTTTGCTCTCTGGGGGAAGGAGGGTGTGCTGAGTTGTTTTGAGTCTTGACCTCATGGGGTATGGACTGATTTCAATACAGAAACTTGTATTTATATAGCGCCCATCACGCAGGGTAGCATCCCAGAGCACAACCCCGAGCAATGAACCAATTTCTCTATCCTTAGGCTTAAGACCACTTGAGATTTATAACAGTAAATCCTTGCGTTAGACACCACACCTTAACACATAGAAACATTTCAAAGTAGGGGTTACTGTTGAGTATAGTGAGTGTGTATGTTTGTAAGGAGATGTGGTACCCAATTTGAGTACAGCAGTGTCCCAAGAACAAGCAGGAGATGAATGACCAATTTAACTTCACTACTTACAACAAGGATGTAGCAGTGATGGAAGGAGTACCGAAAAGGTTTATCAGGATGATACCAAGGACTGGCAGGTGACTGCTACCGGGTAGACTGGATAGGTGAAGCCTTTTTTCACTAGCAATGTTTAAGAGGGGACCTCATCGAACCTTATTTGATAAGGTTAGCACAAATAGGCTGTTCCCACTTGTTGGGGTCTGTAACCAGGGAACCCACATATAAGATAGGGATCTAAAAGAGAATTTAGGAGGAACTACTTCACCTTGAGGTTACTCAGAATGTGGAACTCGCTGCCCGAAGCAGTGGTTGAAGCAGATGGTTAGATGCATTTAAGAGGAAGCTCGATACACATAAGGGGGAGAAGGAATACAACAACAACTTGCATTTATATCGCACCCCTCAATCAGGGTAGCTTCACAGAGCTCACAGCATCTGAGGCTTCAGGAAAGGCGGAGAAGGTGCTTCCCATCGACCACACATTCAGACCACTGTGGCAATCGATTGTGAAGCCTCCATGTGCCATATCATGGGAATCTTTTGTCCTGATATAGCAGGACAGCTTGCCTCTCTATTCAGCCCAAAATGGAATCAACTTCAATGGCAATTGGTCAGAGCCCCCCAGCCCCCCCAAAAAAAACCAAAACAAAATGACTAATAGGCTGATCTTTAATTGCACAGGTTTCTCCACGTGTGGAAATGATGTGTGCTCAGACACAGCAATTTCGAGAAAAATAATCCGTGACGTGATGCAGACATGAGCCGTTTGTTAACGTCCACGCAAGGGGTGTATTACAGGCCTCCTGCTTCTCACCGTGTCCTGAGTGTATGACGCTGCTTCTACACTCGCTGTTTAAGGAGTCTCAGGGGTTTCTTCCGTCGTGAGGTTCTAAGCTTGATTTTGGCCACGACTGAGTGCGACGCTGGTGCCTACACTCACCGCAGTTACTGTGTAAAACCTGTGGTCTCACGAGGTGTTGGTGAAAAATGTGTTTCAGCAGTGGCTGAACTGGGAGGGAGGGAAACCACCGCAGTAAACACAACGGGTATAAAAAGTTTATCTCAAGAGTGAGGCATTGTGGAACCGACTGAATTTCCTCAGCATGCATCTATTAATTATCAAGCATTCCGAGAGAGAGAGACTCTCCCTTGCACCAGCCCCCTCTTTTTCTCCCCACCCTCCGCCCCACCCCCCACCACCACACAACAACAACAACTTGCACTTACATAGCGCCCACGGAGGGTAGTGTCTCAGAGCACTTAACAGTGGCGGAGCCTGACTCTGAGCCAGGCGGGGGAGGTGGCCGTAAGCACGGTGGAAGAGGAAGGTTTTTAGGCGGGACATGGAAAAAGGGGAGAGAGGGGGCAAGGTAGGGGGCTGAGGGAGAGCGTTCCAGAGTACCAGAGAGTGAACACACACACAAAAAACACAAATGTTGCGCTGAGTAGTCCTGGAGTATTATTAATGTGGTGCAGTTGAGGCAAGCAGCACTTGCACGAAGGTCCAGACGTGAATCTGGATGATCTAAAGTAGATGCGGAAGCACATTACCTTAATTTGCAATATTTGTCGTGTGTTATATTCCTGTATTTCAAGCCCACAAGCTCCCGGCTGCTGAAGTACTCTGGAGTTATTTTCTTTGTCTGTGGAAGCTCACAGGCTGCCCAGCATTGACCTGCCGCTGTAGGATTATTGTAAATGATTAAATGCGAGCATTATTTTGACATTAAGTTAGCCCAATGGGAAATACGCAAATGTACATGAAAGGCGCTGAATAAGTCAAGTTCAATACCCTCTACCTTTCTCACTCTGGCCCCCTCCCTCGGCCATCTGCCAGGTCGCATCTGAAAACCTTCCTCTTTGACCGTGCGGACGGACACCTCCCCTCCCTCCCCAGCTCAGAGCCAAGCTCTGCCACAGTTAAGTGCTCCAAGACGCTAGCCCGCGTGAAGCCACTGTCTAAATGCAGTTACTGTTGTGGTAAGCTGCGTTTTCTGCTGAATTGATACACCATTAATCGACACATGACCGATCAATGTTGAACATTTGTCAAGATTAAGGTCATCTCCAAAATCTTCAGTCTCACAGCAAAAATCAGCCAAGTTTAGTCAGTAGTCAGTTTCGCCTCCGAGTCAGATGCTTGTGGGTTCGGGTTCACTTCAGAACTTGAGCTCATTGTTTGGGCTGAAACTCCATTCCAGCACTGCACTATCAGATGTGTCATCTTTCAGATGAGACCTTAACAGCGGCACTTTCTGCCAGTTAATTTGGACATTATAGGTCCCACGACACTGTTTGAAAAGAAAAGGGAGTTTCTCACCAGTCTGGCCAACAATCTTAATTAATTAATCATTTCTGACACTAAAAATGCAAATCTTTTCTCTCGTTCTTTCTTTCTTTTGCACAGTCTTTCTGAAAAACATTTTAGAAACTAAATCAAGTGGCCAATAAACACTGTCATTTTGGACTGATTCAGACTCACTGCCTTACCAATCCCTCGGCCCGCTCCCTGCAGTAGTCCATACTGATGCCGCTGAAACCCTTGTGGCGTCCTGCGGTGTAGTGGTTAGAGCACTCACCTCGCAAGGGAGAGGACCTAGGTTCTTCCAAGCAGGGTGGAATGTTGGGGAAGATTTTTTTACTCCACCCAACATTCCCCCCACCTCCCCAATTGCTTTTCGGGGGAAATAAACCCCTCGAAAGTAAAAATGAAAAAGTAATAATAATTTGGTCACTTAATCCATTGCTGTGCGCAATTGGCCGCCGTGTTGCACCCACAAAATATACAGTCAATTCACTTTATAATATATTCTGTGAAGCGCTTTGTGACGCCTCAGCGATCCGATATAAGGCACTGTATCAAATGCAAGGATTATTATTATTAAACCTACTTCCACTCTCTGCTTCAGGGTTGTTCCCTGGGAACACATTCCACAAGACTGTTCTGCTTTGAGTTCCTTGCTTCTGACGTGTGCCTCCTTACGTTGAGGTTTTGCTACAGGAAATAATTTGCCTGAATGCACTTTGCCGAACAGTCTCGTCCAAGGTCAGGAAAACTTGATACTGTATAAATATCAGTTTTAACTCTTCTCTCCTTCCCCAAAAAAGGATCTTTTAATCAAATAACGAGGTCCGTTACTAGAATCTGGGCAAAATAAGCACATTTTTTTCCAGTATCACTGGAAAATATTCAAAATATTTGCGAAATTATATAGATGATGTACAAAGGGATTTCAGTGATTTACTGAAAAATAAACCTCCAGAAGTAACATCCTGTGTACAACACACGAACCCAAAGACCCTTTCCACGTGTCGTCGTTTATTCAACGCACCACAACTTTATGGGTTGTGTTATTATTTTGTTGGTTAAATGGTAACTAGGAGCTGTGCTGGTGGAGAGGATGCAGGACACAATGGCACACTGGATGATGTCTCACTGCCTGTTCTGTGACTTGCAGAGCAGTACAGAACAGCAGTGAGTGTTCAGAGCTTCCACTATAGTAGCTGAGTTGTAGCACAGATTAATGTTTGGACCGGATGTGCAGCGGGGCAGATTGCACGCCTGCCTGCTGTCATGTGTCAGACACTGGCTCAGCTGAGTCAGAAAGCTGTGGGTTCAATCCCTACATCAGCACTTTGAATGCACAGTCTTAGGCTGACACTCCAGTATAGTTCTGGGAGTGTGTTGAATTGTTGGAGGTGCTGTCCTTCGGATGAGACATTAAACCGAGGTCCTGTCTGCCTGTGCAGGTGGATGTTAAAGATTCCATGGCACTTTTTAAGAAGAGAAGGGAGTTTCTCTCTCCCATTGTCAGTAATTCCCCTGGATAAAATTGCTCAATTACTTCATGGCTGTCTGTGGGTAGTTGTGTGTGCAAATTGGCTGCTGCATTTGCCTACAAATACACAGTCACTACACATTACAGTGTAGCTTATCAAGTATTTTGAGACGTCCGACACCAAATGTAAGGATATTTATTATTATGCATGATCCCGTATGATGTCAGATGTCACCAAAAAAGGATGTGAAAGTGATCTATCCCAGGCGTCGACTTGGTGTCGCACTCAGTCCAGCTGGTTTGTCTGAGATGCAATTACACAGGCTGCAGAGTGCCGTTAAATGGTGGGATGTTATTGTGAGGACTGTTGTTCCCAGCCACATTTCAGATGTTCAGGTGCAGCTATTTTTAGCCACGTGATTACACATGTGGGTAACGTGTTGTGTGTTGTGTGTCAGGGTTTCAATGGCACATGTCACAGAAGGTAAGGCTCTTGTTTGTTGAAGGGTTTTGAGGGACAGAGTGAAAACCAGGCTGGTGAGTAATAGTGAGCCTGGCCAAATGGGTCACCAGCAGACGTCTGGGAGCGAATCCCCACTCAGTGGGGACTGGGTGTGGGAGAGAGGAAAATAAAATGGAAAAGATACTTTGTTTTATATTAAAAACATATTTTATTCGAGCGGTTATCATTTTGCCACTCTGGGGCCTGGGTTCAAACTCAGCCCAAATCAAAAAGAAGATCTGGTCTGTGCTGTGGGGACTGGGTTAGTGCACAGGGTTAGAACACTGTGCTTTCACCTTAGGGATCTGATTCACATCCAAACCAGACAGAGCAAATGAAAATCTCCTCTGAAGGGGAATTTCGGGCAGCTTGAATCTAATTTCTTGTGGGCTCACGTCCAGACTGCAGTCCAAGGCTGTTGTGATGATTCACAGTTGTCATGTTAAAAAGGCCAGGCTGAATTGTGATTGTTACACAAAATCGTAGCCACATCGACAGAAGAATTTGCTGATCACCAACGCAATATGAGGTTAACCCACATGCCAGCTATTACAGTTGGAAACAAGAAAACATCCCCACAGACACCACCGCCCCCTCCCCCCAACCCAACCACCCCTCCCGGTTTCTCTCTCTGTCTCTTGCCCCCCAACCTTCCCACCAGCGCTTCTGTGTGTATCAGTCAACTACAGACCAGGTAGTACCTGCACTGGAACAGGGCCAGCATGAGAGAACTGGAGAAATTCCTTCTAAGTCTCGGGGGTAAAAGGAAAGGCACAGCTGCCAGAGGAACAGTTCCAGACCACCCAGCGCCAGCTGCAGGCTGAGTGTGACTCACATCCCAGGCAGATTTCACAGAAATGAATGTGGACGACCTACTGAGAAATTGAACATTTAACAGCAGTAAAATAATTCTCTTAAGTTTCAGTCACCTGGCAAACTCTCCTCGCTCAACCTGGAAGATCAGTTAGACACTGATACCCTTTCCCGGCAACTAAACACTCAGCAGTTACGTCATAGCTCCCAGTACATTATTATTCCTGCTTCCACTTACTCACTGTCAAAAGATTCCCAATTCTTCCCTATTGTTTGCCTCAGACCCTTCCGTGCTCACTTATTGAGGCCACGTGAGCTGCCGTGACCTTGTTTTTTAAAACTGAGCTACAGCTATATTATGTACCAGACATCGATTGCATTTGCACCTCACTTTAATGCCATCGAAACCAATGTCAAAACCAATCCGAACACCTCTCAACCCTAACGAGATGGGCGGGGCCAGGCCCAGGGAAATGGGCGGGGTCAGATCTGGGAAATGGGAGGGTCCCCCGGCCCTGGAGAGGTCGAGTGCAAGTTTGATCCAACATTCAATAGTGCTGTCAGCGTCGGCACTTCATTTAAGGAAGAATTGGCTTTACATTTGTTGCTGAGCGCACCATCGAACCTACAAGCCATTTTTTTTTTTACGGGAGGAGGGATGAAGCAAACTCCCTCCCACTCTTCTCAGCCCACAGCTGTGAACTGGTAGAAGGGAGATGTTTAAACCATTACAGGACAATGTGAGCTGGAGTAGATGCTTGGGGAAGCTTCCCTGCTGGCCTGGGATACACACAGCCCAAACAGATCAGGAGCATGTCTGTCCTGCCCCGTCAGAGCGGGGCTGCGATTAGCCTTGGCTGTCTTCATGGGGTGGTGTTCCTCGGGTGGGAAGTGCCTCTCCCCCCCCCCCCCTCCCGATCTTCTGTTCGAAGGAGGAACCCTGACTGTCCAGCGCCTTAGGATGTCCTCCTGATGTGAAAGGCGCTACATGAATGTAATTTGTTGTTTTTGGTGTTGTTGAAGATGCTTTACATACTATAATGTTGATCAGAATTTGAGTTTAGAACTCGGGTTGATTAAAATCGCTTTGGTCTCTCCCGCAATCGCTGTTAATCTAATCTCACCAGAGGAGCCTTTGCTGAGGCCCCCAGGCTGTGGGCTGCTCAGGGTGATGGGGTTATGTGTGCCAGACTGAGAGTCAAACCCACCCAGGGAGGGGAGAATGGCAACTCAGCCTGAGGTGAGGGTTTCAGGTGTGACCCTGCACCACAGTGAAAACTGCACCTGTAATGTTTGTTTCGCCCTCAACATATATAGTCAACAAGTGCAAGGATTATTATTATTATTCTCTTTCACGTGCTGATGGAGTTACTGTGCATCTGATGGGTGGGGCGGGGGCAGCTTATTTTGTGCCTATCCGGGAAATCATCTTTGCATCCTTGGCTTTTCCTGCTAGCGCCCGCACTCTATCCAGGAGGCCAATCTCACTGGCCCGGATATATGACTCTGCCACCTCTGCTGATCTTTTCTCCTCTTGCTCCCTGACAGGGTAACAATGATGACTTAATCCTCTCGTGCTGCCTGCATTATTGCAAGGACAAGGCCAAGGACTTCATGCCAATGCGTAAAGGTATTTCAGAGCCACCTGAGCCGACGGCTATTTCTTTCAGCCACCCTCCTACCCCTATACCCTCCCTTCCCTGCACCCTCCCTGATCCCAACGCCTTGGGACGTACTCCTGACGTAAAAGGTGCTGTGTAAATGTAATTTGTTGTTGTTTACTGTAAAGTGGAGTGACTATCTGTCGACAAAATGTCACAATGGTGTAATAGAGGTAGGTTCTCAGGTCAGTGTTCTGACGTGCTGTTGGGAGTACGCCGAGCATCTTACCTGGGCAACACCTGACTTGAGACTGTCTGACACTCCATGATGACACCAAAAATGATGACTTGGGCTAAAATTGCGAGATTTGCCAAAGGGATTTGTACGTGGTGAATCCTGCACATCCCCAGTGTCGCTGTGAATTCCATTGGGTGGAGGTGGATGTCAGCGCAGATTGGGAGAATGTAAATCCCTTTACAAAAAATCTCCTCATTTAAATCTCGTTGTCCGAATGTGTACAAACAGGACTGCTTCGGGATTTTCTTCTGCGCTGTGACTAGAATTAAAATGAAAATTTATTCTTTATTTGCCCCTCTCCCCCCCCCCCCCCCGCCCCGACAGATGAACCTATCCGCCTGAGACGTGACGTTGTGTTGCTGACCGATGACCGGAACATGAGGGTGAAGGCGCTAACTCGTAACGTCCCAGTCCGGGCTATCCCCAGCTTCCTGAAGTGGGCCAAGGTGGGATGAGAAGACTGTGGCACCAGGCAAACTCACGTCCTCTGGAAACTAGTGAAGGCATCGTCGAGAGCCCCCAGTGCCCGACCAATGCCAACAACCGCCCCCTCCGTTATACAGAAGCTAGCTTTAAAGAGATGACGAGAATCAGTGCAGTTGAGTAGAAGATTGTGATCGGTTACCAAAAAAACAATAAGGATAAAGTGAGCTAAAGAAGGCAAGGTCTTGAGATGAAAGTCTTGATGGGTCTTTTTAGAAGCAAGCTGAGCCGTGGTGGGTTATAGGGGAAGAGCATCCACGTCAGGTTCCTGGGCGGGGGCTCTCTTATCCTCTGTGGGGGGAATGGATTCCTACCCCCTGGGGTTACTTCCATTAGTGTGGAATTTTTTCTGTGGTAGAGCTGGGTTATCCTCTCTCCCATGCCTCGCCAAGCCACCCCCACCCATACATACCCTCCGCTCTGAAGCTTTGCTCCAGGGAGGGGGGGTGGGAGACCAGGCTTAATGATTCCATTAGCTGCAGCTTCAGCGATGTCATTTTTTGGCGGGGAGGAATTCTGTGCAAAAAAAAAAGAAAGTTTCGAAAAACTTTTTTTTCTCAAGAAGACAGACAACAACTGTGCATCGCCTTGGAGAGAGGCCCTGCTTTTTAAGGTTCGCCTACACTCAAGGAAACTTTTTTTTAAAGGTCGTGTTAAGGGTCGCAGTCAACACGATTGCAGATAAAGTGGCTTTTAATTTGTTGGCCTTGTATTAAAAAAAGTATTCCTGGCACCAGCCTATCATCAGTTCGATAGTATGTTCTTAGTTACTCGGTCTCCTCTTTTTTGATGGGAGATGGTGCGTTACAGAAATTAAATGGAGATGTTTTTTCTTTGTAAAGCTGGAGCTGACTTACTGACTGACTGACTGACTGACTGAGTGACTGACTGACTGATTGTGTGATGGGACAGACAGTGTGATCCACCGACTCAGGCAGAGAGTGTCACATGAGCGAGCTGGTAGACAAGCTGCCCTTTTGCACCCGCTCTCGATGCCCAAGACCTTTGGCATTTGGGGGTGGGGGGGGGGTTCTAGAGACTTCTACCCTTGCAAAACAGCAGCAGAGCAAGGACCATGCCTGGGTCTAATTACATTGCAGGGCCCATGACGGAGATACCTGGTGACTCCAAATCCTGGAGCCTGCCAAGGTATCAAGTAGCTGCCATAGCTACTCAATTTTTGAACCAACACACACACGCACACAGCTCTCAAGTAAAATTTCAGCCCCAAAAGAAAAAAGTCTATACCTGAGTACTTAAGATTAAAATCTCTGAAATTTGTTCTGTACGATTCTGCGGTGCTGAAATTGAAGTTTATTTTAGACGTTTCAAAACTCATTTTTAATTCAGCCTGATTTTTTTTCTCACTCTTGTTAATATTTAGTTTTATTGGTTAGGTTTGTAGAACAAAAACGTATTGTATTGCAATCGGGTGTCTGTCACCGTTTTATGTGATGTTTAAATGGGCTTTATAGGAACTATTTAAAAAAAAAGGCAGCTTTTTGTTTTTAATACAGTGGCAATAATTTTGAGTACAATTGCGCATCTCAAAGATGTGTTGTAGGTAACCAGCTCATTTCAACAAGCGATTTCTCTGCCCACAAACACTTGTTAACCGCTCTTTGTTCCTTCTGAGAGTGACAACACTCACTTACTTAGAGTGCTGCTATCACAATGTAGTAGAAAATGTGGTAGAAAATGCCATTGCTTTGCTTATCCACTGTAGTTTTCATGTGGCTGATGTTTTGCTTATTTCTGTAGAGATAATAAAATGGATATTGAACCCTTTAGAGTCTGTATTGTTGTTTATTGCTGTTTTGATGTTATAGAAACAGTTGAAAAAGAGATATTTTTTTCTGCTCGTTTACAAAAATACAATTATAGAAAAAATCCCACCAAAGCACTTTATACAGACTGTTTTTAAAATATAAACACATAAGTAACAGATACATGCAATAAATACATTCATTTGAATGAAAAAAGACAATTTATAAAAAATACTGTTTGGGTGTTTTTTTTTGTATTGCAACGTACATGTGAATTGTATTTGGTTTTCGTTTTTTTAGAAAAAAATATCTCGGGAGGTGTTTGCTGTACAGACAAAAACTTCGACTTTGGTTAATTCATTAAATTTACAAAGACTTAAAGAGAGAGAGACGTGGGTCGACATTACAAAAAAAAAACGGTCGGCTCTGTCCCACATTAAACACAGTGCTTATATTATACATGCATTCCCCCCCCTATTCCCTGTATGTCTCCACAGTTGCAAACAGGGGCGTTATAAAATAGGAAATCTTTAGTAATCCCTGCAAACAAAGGTAACATTTACTGGCAAGTTGCATTTCATGCTAAAATACTGCATTTAATAAATGATTAATTCGGCTGTTTTTTTTTCACAGAACAAGTCCCTCAACACGAGGCGATGTGAAGCTTCCCCCAACCTTCGATGGCTTTTCGTTCAAACAAACTGAACCCCCTTTCCCTTTCAGCTCCCCTAAACATCTCTAAAATACCAGAGGAAAGCCTAATGCATTGCTGTTCAACGTGAAAGTAAGTCCTGGTGTTGGAGGGATCACATTGATGTTAAACGTCGGGCAAATCGCATGAACCCAGAACCCACGGTGGTGGTGGTGGTGTTTTCCTAATTCAGATGGTGTTGAAATTTGTCAGTGGTCGATGGCGCTTTGGACTGAGCCTAAAGTTTGTTATTTGTATTGCAGCGTTTGGGGTAATTTTAGTGGGTGTTTGGGTGGGGGGAGCAGTCAGTAAGGGTGGAATTCCTTGCGAGTTACACTCTTTATCCAGACTCACTCTCACTGCCCGAGCTGGGGAGCACTGGGGGGCAAATGGTTTCATTTGATAATAATACCAGTGTGCGTTACACATATATATATATATATATATATTTAAATTGTCTTTGAAAAGAGAAGAGAAGAGAAGAGAGAGAGAGAGAGAGAAAGCGGAGGTATTATTGTTTGTTGAATGTCATCGTGTTTGAAATAAAACATGATCAACGTTCCCTGACGTTTCAAAGGCAAAGGGAAGCTGTTGTTTTGTTCACCAGCTGAGAGCTGGTTTGTAACGGAGTGAGTGAGTGAGTGAGTGAGTGAGGGTTTGGAGAGGAAGGAAACGAGAGAGAGAGAGAGAGAGAGAGAGAGAGAGATTTGAGTCCATGATTTAGTGCAAGACAGCAGTTTGCAAGCTCCAGTCGAGGACAGCAAAGCAGTCTAGTTAGTCTGCGAGGCAATGGGTTAGTTGAGTCGCTATTTTATCCGAGATTTTTTTAAAAAAAACTGCGTCTATTTCTCATTCCTTCACTGTTTTTTTTTCTCTCTCTCTCTCTCGTCTCCCTTTGCAAAACTGACCATTTTTTTAAATATTTTTTTTTAAAAAAAAAGTTGGAAGGCGAGGGGATGAGTTTGGCTGTTTTGGCTCTGAGTTTTGCTGCTCAGCTGCGATCAGGTCTGGAAATTGCACATCGCCTCAAACGTTTTGCTTTTTTTTTCAGAAACAAACAATAATGATAATAATTGTAGCTGGTGAAAGCATTCCCCCCCCCCCCCACCCCCACCAATAGACACACATACACACGCGGTCTCCCTCCTCCCAGTTTCCTCTCTGAAACTCTCGGTAGTCTTTTTTTTAAATGTATGTGTAGCAAACAACAAGAACTGATAATAAAAAAAACTAACTCTATAAAACCCTTTAAACACCGCCTCGCAGCTCCCAAACACAGGCTTCACCCACTGAGGTATCGTAACAGTTCATTCCACTCTACGTGTTGGTTTCTTGTGTGTTTACACACACAGACCAACACATACACACGACAAATTAACAACACAGAGCTGTCCCATCCCCAGTGCCTCTCTGTCACTCACTGCTCTGCGCACAACTGTGGTAACTGTTGTGTTTTGACACACATCGAGAATGTCTCACCGCTTTGCGCATAACACACGACACGACATAACTGTAGGGAAACAGCGTTCGCTCGTCCGAACCGTACACAAGGTAATCCTGGTTCAGTGCAGGTACAAATCGGGGCTGTTTCAAACCGGTTTAGAGGGTGTGTGGGAAGGTGGGGTGGGGTGGGGGCTGGGGGGTGAGACAAGAGTTTCTGAGTCCAATCAATTGCCTCGCCGGTAAAAACACTAACGTGTTTAGTGCCAAAGGGAGGAAACAAAATAGTCACTTTATATTCCCCCCCTTAAAAAAAATAGTCACTCCACCACAGTTTAGAAACAAATTGCTAATTGTTCTGTTAAAAGAAAAGAAACACAGATTTAACGTCGAGCAGAGGCTTCTCGATCTTGTCTGTCCAAATATATATATATATATATATATATTGTGTAAAAAAAAACTAAACAACAAAGAACAACAAGTTTTCAAGAACTGTTTATAACTTATTTTTGGGGGGAGAGAAAAAAACACCCCCAAAGTATTTATTTCACACGAGCACCTAAACGAGTTCAAAGCTGCAGAATCTCTTTTCAAATCGATTTTTTTTAAAAAAAAACTTTTTAAAAAAAACACACCCCAAAAGAAGTGGTTTTTTTTTTGACCGGTCCCTCCAATAAAGTTCTCTCTTTCTCTGAAAACTCTCCCAAAGTCCCAACTAACTTTCACATTGGAACGGTTCGAGGACAGGAATCCAAGGCCAGAGAGGAAAGCAGACACTATCTGTAACTCCAGCGGCTCACCTTGTAACTTCTTTTTATATTTTAAAAAATATGATATATTCCCCTTCTCTCCCTCCCTCCCTCCCTCCCTCCTTTCTCCCTTACAAACTAAACAGAATCAGTCCAGGATTTGCAAAGAACCAGCGTGAAAGGGAAAGGTTCCACAGCTTTGGTCGAAGTGATGATGAAAGGTTAAAAGTGCTGTTTAAAGTTCCTGTTCACCTCTCTCTCTCTCTCTCTCTCTCTCTCCCCTCCTTCTCCCCTCCCCTCCCCTTCCTCCCCCCCACCCCACAAGGTCTCAGCAGCTTCTGTGCCCCTGAACTCCCAAAGCTCACAATCACAGTGTCTCTCACTATTGTCACAGCAGTGCTTTTCTGCCCAACACTGTCCAACAACTGCTCCTGAGACCAAACACCCAACCGACTGCCCTCCCCCCTCAAGACAATACACTCAATTAATTAGTGGTTTTCAAAAAAAACGGAAGATTGCACCTAGCCTAAGTTGGGCTCTTTTTTCAGTTGATGTTGAGGAACCATCTTAGCCAATAGTGAGAAGATATAGTCTCTCCTCCTCTCTCAGTGAGAAGTAGAGCAGTGCTCAAGGGAGTGGGGGTGGGGGTGTGGGGGTGATGGTGGCTTGGGGCCTGTTTAAGGTGGAGAGTAAACATCTATAGCTTTGGAGTCGTTGTTGGTCAAGTGAGAGGCCTGAGAGAGGATCTCGGCCGCTTTCTCTTGGTTGATGCCCAGGTGCTCGGCGGCGAATTTGGCCAAAGGGTAAACGTTCTCTGTGAAGTCCATCTTTGGTTTGAGGTCGGGGCCGGAGGTGTGCATCTTCATGTGGCTGATCAGGTTCCGCTGCTGCGCAAACTTGCCCCCGCAGATCTGACATTCGTAAGGCTTCTCTCCCGAGTGGATCCTCATGTGTTCGGTCAGACGGTACTGGCGGGTGAAACGCATCCCACACGCCTCGCAGGCGAAAGGCTTGAGGCCCAAGTGGCTTCTCATGTGCCGGGTCATGGTGCCTCTCTGGGTGAACTTCTTCCCGCAAATGTTACAGGGGTAAGGCCGGGTCAGCCAGTGGGTTTTCTCGTGTTGCCTGAGGGTCGCTGGGTCCTTGTAGGACTTCTCGCAGGAAGTACATCTGTAAGGCCTGATGATCTCTCCCAATGTCTGGTTGGACTTGTCCAGGAAAGGCGTACTGGTCTGGTCGGCCACCTCCTTGTGGAACAAGTCTTCCTCTGTGTGGCTCTCCACGTGGGCGTTGAGCTGCTCCGAGCTGGGGAAGCCCTTACCGCAGGGGATACAGACGTAAAGGTTGTCTCCAAAATTCTCTGGCTCATAGGCAACATGGCTGCAGTGATACCTGTCCAACCCCGAGGGACAGGGGTCATCGCTACTCGTGTCCTCGCTGCTGCTTTTCTCGTCCTCCGCCTCCTCGCAGCCCAGGTTGGGGTATCTGACCTGCGTGTTGGGCACCTCCACCTTCCTGTCCTGGTGCTCACATTTGGCCACTTTGTCCCTGTCACAGTCGTCCACACAATGTGGCTCTTGTTTCAGCCACCTGGCCATCAGCAGGTCCTCCTGAGCCTCAGTTCTCAGTTTGGAGTCACTGTTGGACAAGCTGCTCCTGAAGACATAATTCTCGTGTCCCCCCATCTGCTCATCCGCGTCCAGCTGATGTCCGCTGCCTGGAGGCGGCTGGTCCTTGTAAGAGGCACCGTTGGTGGTGATGAGGGAGGCACTGATGGTGGTTGGGCTGAGCTGCCTGGGCTCCTCGTCTTGGTGGAGAGAGGAGGGGGCGGCGGGGCTTTTCTTGGACAGATCCAGGCCCAGCATCTGTGAGGAGACCTGATCTTGCAGACATATCCTCTGGGGATGTGCCTGATTAGCCTGAGAAGCCGGGGCATAGAGCTCCCCGGAGTGTGTGTTGATGGTGTGCATGACGTCCATGGGTTGGCCGTCCATTAGCCTGGAGGCCACGGAATAACACGACTGGATCACGGGCGTCGAGGTCCTAAGGCCTCTGCCGATTTTCCCATAGGATGAGAACCCTGTCCTGATGTGCAAGTAGGTCCCATTGCGTTTGAGTTTCTTCTTGCAAAGGGCGACCAGGTCGGGGAGTTGGAGGTAACTGGCGGCGGCTAAGACAGCTCCCAGGTTCTGCTCGCTGCCCTGATCTCCCTCGGTCAGCCTCCCGGTGTAGATGTAATCCAGGATGGTGCGGAATATCCCAGGGCTGACCATCTCGGGGTCCAAGTTGACCAGATTGTCGTGAACCACCAAGGACTTGAGATAGACGCTGCTGGCGGCCAGGATGTTCTTGTGAGCTCGGAAGAGAGCGTTCTGTACCACGATGATAACATCGCAAAGGAAACCCTTCGTCCTCTGTCGGTTGAGCTGCATCAGGAGCTGTTTGGCGTAGTTGGGTACCTCCATGGCATCCAGGTTAGGTTTCTTGCCCCCACCTTTTCCGAGAGAAAAATCACACAAAAAAAAAAAGAACCGTACTGTTTAACCCCACGTAGAAACATATCGACGGCAATAATTCATATCAGGTTTTTTTTAAATTAAAAAAAACTTTTGCTTATTACCATTGAAGCAGCGAATCAGATAATCTGAACTCAACCCCCCCCCCCCCAACCCCCCACCCCCACCCCAACACCAGCTGAGTTTGTCTAACAAGTCGCTATTCATCTGAAACCAATTTTAACATCAGTTTTACCTTAAGATGAAATACTGTCTCGTTGGCACACACACACATAACACACACATAACACACACAACACACCCCACCCCACCTCTGCTTTACATTTGTTTCAACACCGAAAAGTTCCACTTGTATTTTTTTTTCGCAAACGAAATCTGAAGGAAGCGAAAAAGAAACCAGCTTTTTATTAAGTGACGTTTTTAATTTTTTATATATGTGTATATATACATAAATTATTATTTTTTAAAAAATAAATCACTTCATTTGCCGGTGGATAAGTTCGTAACGTTCAATCAGTAAACGCGCCTTGTTTTCAATCTCATTTCAGCAAGTTTAGCGTCAGTTTGTATTTAAGTAAGTTAGTTAGCAAGTAAGTAGGTAAGTAAGTAAGTTTCTATTAAGATAACGACAACGTTTCCTTAAAAAGATTGTAATCTCTTACCTTGCTTCCTACTCTGATCTGACACAATTCTGGGGAACGATATTTTAAAACGTTTTGTTTTGAAAGAAGAAGCAACAAGAATAATCCCTGGTCACCAATACAGTTTGTGGGGCCCAACAGGTGACATGGTCGTCTCATTGAAATCAACCCTCAGCGTTCAACAAAAAAAAAACACTGCGCAAAACAAAAAAAAAAATAATGTCCCACTGTGAGATCGCTGAGGGAAAGGACAACAAGTTGGGAGTCGGAAATTTTAGAGATGGGAAACTGGAAGGAAGATTCGCGTTAAACAAAAAGACACTCCAAAAAATAATGAAATGACAAAAAAAATGTAATTTGGTTGAAAGAAAAGAGTGGGGGGTGGGTGGGGGGGGGGAGTGGAATTTACCTTGAAACCCCAATTGTGTGTTACTGTGAGCTCTGGGCTCAGATGGGTACTCGTGTTGGCTTTAGTTCTCCTGGTCTCGAATGGATAGGCGGACCAGACAGTGACTGCCCGCTTTAGACTGTGCTAAATACTGTACCCGGTACGATTGACCAGAGGCTGAGCCGTGCCAGCTTTTATATGTCAGCCTGGCGAGGGAGGCGAGGGAGGGGGAGAGAGGGGAGGGAGGGAGGGGGTTCACACGCCAACCCCCCCCACCCCCCACCCCCCTCCCCCCAAACCCCCATCACCCCCCCTGTGGGCACTTTCAAACATGACATCACTTTACAGACTGTGTTAGTTTTAGTTACCCCACCGTCAGGGGAGTGAGAGGCAGCGATCATTATCCTTCCCCCCCCACACACCCCCACACCCCCCACCCGAAGGAAGAGAGCGTTTCCTTTCCAGCTATTGAGAAGCCGCAGGTTTGTGTGTTATTGTGCACAAACAAACGCCTCTCAGTCACCCGCCAGTCAGTCACTCTCTGTGTACATCATCGTGTCCACGTACACGACAGCCCACTACCGTGACAACAGGCACAACACCAGGCACCGCACACTGCAGTGCCAATCCGTACACCTCAGTGTCCATTCACACTAATAACAACAGAACAGAACCACACCACAGCATCAATAGGTACAACACACTGTCGTGTCAATTGGTACACCCCAGTGTCCATTCACACTGTATTTAGCGCAGATATAACACCCTGGAAATATTGCAAGCGCACAAATCAGTACCTATAGAGTGTAAAGAGACAATTCCGTCCACTTTTAATGTAAATCGTACAATTTGGCACACGCCAAATGCCCAATTGTGCACAACAAATACGCTCTGTGTCAGTCAAGCCACACCACCGAATTATAGAGAGAGGGAGAGCTTTGGGAATACAGTGACATTCGCTCAACCAAAAAAGCCCGTTTCAGGGCGAAATTGTTTGAATAAATTAAAATTAAACTGATCTGTGTTTTTTTATTAAAAAATTGATGGCTAATTATCCTCCGAATTGGGTTAACCACTTCACACCTGTAAGTTTCAGCCGAACCATTGACATAAATAGGAGCAGACAGATAGACAGACACACACACACACACACTACATTTAACGAGTTTTAGTTAGGTTACACTTCACGCTGATAAAGCGGCTTTTCCTCCTATAGACAGGCCAGTTTTCTCCTGATTTTTGTACCAAATTGCGTGAATATTTAAAACAAGCTTTGCCGGTGCTTTGAGTGAAATAAAATAAAATACTCGAAACTTGAAGAGAAAATTCCACTTCACAAAAGCGCTTCATTCACACACTCTTTCTCTCTATGATGCAAATTAAATATACTTTTCTCCTTTTTTTTTCTTTCTTTTTTTTAAAAAAAAGGACAAAGACATGCGTTATTTGTCTGAAAAACAGCCAGACCACAACTTTAGGCAACTTTAGGCAAATATCAAGTCGCGCAAAGGACGTGTGTGTGGGGGATAGAGTAGGGAGAGAATTAAATTCAATTAAATTAAAACATTTCGTTTGAATTAAATTGTCAGAGTGAATCATTCTCAGCTTCTCTCTCTCTCTCTCTCTCTCTCGCTTCCTCCCTGTACTGTGTACTGTGTTTCCCAAATTAATAACCCATGATAAACAGCCTCATCTTAACTTATATACACTTCAAACGCTCTCTCAATATGGGATGTTTTTTCTCTGTTGAACTGTGTTGCAAATACTAGCAACGTTACGCCAGCCTCCCCCCCCCCTCCCCTCCCCAACCCCCCCAATAAAGGACACGGTTTGCTACAAGGTGGTGGTGGGGGGTGTGATGAGAGAGAGGTCGGCGTAAAGTTGGGAGTGTTTCTAACACACTCTGACAGAAACACAGTGGAACACGATGTGAGTGTGTGGATGTGACTTGTGTCACCATGAGCCCAGGTAGGAAGGCAGGTGAGAGCCAACCATTGCCTCTCAAGGGCAAGGAAAGTGGCAATGAACCACACTCTCTCTCTCCCCCCCCCCTACCCCCACCTCTATCCCTCCTCCCCCCCCAAAAAAAGAAATGATTAAAGAGCCAGCAATTAGTGCACCAAATTGCAAACGAATGCCCCCTTTTCCGATGAGTGCGTTGTGATTTAAGAACGTGTTCCTTCAAACCCACAACACGTTGACTTCAAAGCTACAGCGAGAACTCGGGACCATCTCCGGCTGTCGGTGGCTTTGCGGCGGGTCCCTGACGTGGGCTTCGTTGGGCCCTCAAAAAAAAACTTCATCGGCGAAGTCACACCCGAGGGCTCGGGATTGACGGTTCAATCGCTGCGTTAAATGGTCCCAATGCTCTGCTATTGCCATTCCCCATTGCTCTGCCGAGTGCTAAGCGCTGCGCTGTCAATGGGCAATGGTCCTCGTACCCGATCCACACACACACACACACACAGTGGGGGGGGGGGGGGAGAGAGAGGGGGGGGGGGGGGAGAGCAGAGCGGGACATGGTGTAAAGCAGAGACAACTTCATCCCATCCTGTTACTCAGTCCCGAAGCCTAGACTCACGTCTATAGCGAAAAGCACAGCCATTTAGTCATATATATATATATATATATAATGTCTATATATTTTAGATACATGTGCATATATATGGTGATGGGTTTCCGCAACTATCAGACACCCAACTGTCCAAAAAAATGTGTTCTATATAAGACATTTAATATATAGTATATATGCGTTTATTTCCCCCCCTTCGAAGCGCACAGTTAGTCCATGTTACACTGTATTATGTGAGGCGCTTTGACGCGTCTCAACAACGTGTTGAGGCGCTAATATCAAACGTAAGGATATTATATTGTTATAGAAGACGCAGAGCCGCGCAACCAGTCCAGAGCCGAGAGCTTTCCGCGGAGGGAATAACGCGCTGTCAACCTGTGTGTGTGTGTGTGAGACAGGAGAGACAGTGCGTGTGTGAGGCTGGGGGGGGGGGGGGCGCCCATGGTGTGGGTATGTGTGTGTCAGCCGAGCTGTGTGGGAGCCCCTTACCTGGTTGTGTGTGTGTGTGTGTGTGTGAGGTTGCCGGGGTGTGTATGTATGTGAGCCCTCCCCGGGCTATGTGTGAGCCCCCTTTACCTGGGTATAATGTGTGTGTGTGTGTGTGTGTGTGCTACCCTGTGTGTGTGTGTGTGTGTGCCCTGTGTGTGTGTGTGTGTGTGTGTGTGTGTGTGCCCTGTGTGTGTGTGCTGCCCTGTGTGTGTGTGTGTGTGTGCCCTGTGTGTGTGTGTGTGTGTGTGTGCCCTGTGTGTGTGTGTGTGTGTGTGCCCTGTGTGTGTGTGTGTGTGTGTGTGTGCTGCCCTGTGTGTGTGTGTGTGTGTGCGCCCTGTGTGTGTGTGTGTGTGCCCTGTGTGTGTGTGTGTGTGTGTGTGTGCCCTGTGTGTGTGTGTGTGTGTGCCTGTGTGTGTGTGTGTGCTGCCCTGTGTGTGTGTGTGTGTGTGCGCCCTGTGTGTGTGTGCCCTGTGTGTGTGTGTGTGTGTGTGTGTGCTGCCCTGTGTGTGTGTGTGTGTGCTGCCCTGTGTGTGTGTGCCCTGTGTGTGTGTGTGTGTGTGTGTGTGTGTGCCCTGTGTGTGTGTGCCCTGTGTGTGTGTGTGTGTGTGTGTGACTGGCTGTCCTGTGTGTGTGTGTGTGTGTACCTGGCTGTCCTGTGTGTGTGTGTGTGTGACTGGCTGTCCTGTGTGTGTGTGTGTGTGTGTGTGTGTGTGTGCTGCCCTGTGTGTGTGTGTGTGTGTGTGTGTGTGCCCCCCTTTCCCCTTTACCTGGGTAGCGCTGCTGTGTCCTCGGCGGCCCGGACCCCCGCGGAATGATCATGTCAGCAGCTCTGCGGGGCCATCCTGGCAGCGCTGACGTCTCTGGGCTGACATTTACCCGCTTGTGACTGGAGCCGGCGCCAGACTGCAGCCACCCAGCCAGTCACCCCCCCACCCCCCACCCAGCCAGTCACCCCCCACCCCCCACCCAGCCAGTCACCCCCCACCCAGCCAGTCACCCCCCACCCCCCCACCCAGCCAGTCACCCCCCACCCAGCCAGTCACCCCCCTACCCACCCAGCCAGTCACCCCCTACCCACCCAGCCAGTCACCCCCCACCCAGCCAGTCACCCCCTACCCACCCAGCCAGTCACCCACCCCCCACCCACCCCCCTACCCACCCAGGCAGTCACCCACTCCCCCACCCACCCAGCCAGTCACCCACCAACCCAGTCACCCACCCAGTTACCCACCCAGCCAGTCACCCAGCCCCCAACCCAGCCAATCACCCACCCAGCCAGTCACCCAGCCCCTCACCCACCCAGCCAGCCCCCCCCCACCCAGTCACTCACCCACCCACCCAGCCAGTCACCCACCCACCCCCCAGCCACCCAGTCACCCCCCTCACACTCTCTGCTGTGCTCTGCGCACTTCTCCCTCTCACTCCACTAACAGCTAAACCTCTCTCACACACACACAGAACCCCCCCCCCCCTCTCTCTCTCTCCCTCCTCCTTCTTCCCCCCCCCCTCCCCACCCCCCCTCCCCACCCCCCTCTCTCTCTCTCTCCTGTACGTACCGACAGAGAGTAGCAGCGTCACCTTAAACTGGATTAAAAATAACTCGCGCTCTCTCTGTTACATTATTATTATTATTAGAGGTCTGTTTCCTCGCTGCTATTTTTAAAATGATTTTTTTTTCCTCCTCTCTCTCTCTCTCTCTCTCTCTCACTGTCTATCTGTCTAACGCCTCTCTCGTATGTCTATCTGTCTGTCCCCTTTCTCTCTCTCTCTCTCTTTCTCTCTGTCCCCCTCTTTCTCTCAATCTCTCTTTCTTTCTCTCTATCTGTCTCACTCTTTTTCTCTCTCTCTCTTATCTATCTGTTGCCTCTTCCTCCTCTCCTTCTCCCTCTCCCTCTCTGCCTATCTGTCTCCTCTCCCCTCTCTCTCCCTCTTTCACTCTCTCTGTCTATTTGTCTCCTCTCCCCCTCCCCTCCCTCTCCCCTCTCTATCTCTCCCCCTCTCTATCTCTCCCCCTCTCTATCTCTCCCCCTCTCTATCTCTCACTCTGCCCCTCTCTATCTCTCCCCCTCTCTATCTCTCCCTCTCCCCTCTCTATCTCTCCCCCTCTCTATCTCTCCCCCTCTCCCCTCTCTATCTCTCCCCCTCTCCCCTTCCCCTTCCCTCCCCTCACGGGCGGTGTTGCTGGTTAGCGGAGCGGAGCGGAGTAGGAGCGGAGCGGAGTGTGTTGATGCGTCTGTGCGTGTGCGAAACCAGAGGTAAAATCGAGGGCAGATTCGGCGCTGACCCACAGACGAACTCCTGTCTCCCAACTCCACTGTGCAGCTCGCCACCCAGCGAGGCTTCCACGCCAACACCAGCCCCAGCACAGCCCCAGCACAGCACAGCCCCAGCACAGCACAGCCCCAGCACAGCACAGCCACAGCACAGTACAGCACAGCACAGCCCCAGCACAGCCACAGCACAGCACAGCACAGCCCCAGCACAGCCACAGCACAGCCACAGCACAGCACAGCCCCAGCACAGCCCCAGCACAGCACAGCACAGCCACAGCACAGCACAGCCCCAGCACAGCACCAGTACAGCACAGCACAGCCACAGCACAGCCACAGCCACAGCACAGCCACAGCACAGCCACAGCACAGTACAGCACACCCCAGCCACAGCACAGTACAGCACAGCACACCCCAGCTACAGCATAGCCACAGTACAGCCCATTCACAGCACAGCCCCAGCACAGCACAGCCACAGCACAGCACAGCCACAGCACAGCCCCAGTACAGCACAGCCCCAGCACAGCCCCAGCACAGCCACAGCCACAGCACAGCCACAGCACAGCCCCAGTACAGCACAGCCCCAGCACAGCACAGCACAGCACAGCCACAGCCCAGCCACAGCACAGCAACAGCACAGCCACAGCACAGCCCCAGCACAGCCACAGCGCAGCACAGCACAGCCCCAGCACAGCCACAGCACAGCCACAGCACAGCCCCAGCACAGCACAGCCACAGCACAGCCCCAGCACAGCCCCGCCACAGCCACAGCACAGCCACAGCACAGCCCCAGCACAGGCCAGCACAGCCACAGCACAGCCACAGCACAGTACAGCACACCACAGCACAGCACAGCCACAGCACACCCTAGCACAGCCACAGCACAGCCCCAGCACAGCACACCCCCAGTACAGCACAGCCCCAGCACAGCACAGTACAGCACACCCCAGCCACAGCACAGTACAGCACAGCACACCCCAGCACAGCCACAGCACACCCTAGCACAGCCACAGCACAGTACAGTACAGCCACAACACAGCACAGCCACAGCGCAGTCACAACACAGCCACAGCACAAGCCTCCCCTCCCCTCCCTGCCTCTGTCTCTCTCTCTGTCTGTCTCTCTTGCTGACTCCCCCCCCGCCTCCCTCCCCCACTTTCTTATTATTTACAATTTTGTAATTATTATTGGGGGTTGGGGAGGAATAGAAGCTGTTCCCTCTCTCTATATATATATTTATCTATCTGTCTATCTATTTATCTTTCTCTCTGTGTCTCTCTTTCTGTATCTCCCCCCCCCCCCATTGCATTTTACAATTTTGCACTTTTCTTGGTGGGGGTGAACAGGGGGAAAGATTGGAGGAAGATGTTCTCTTCTACAATTCATAATTCTACAATTATTTTTTTAGACGGGGAGGACAAGCAAAGGGGGGGGGGGGGGGGAGCAATGGAGGGAAATGTTCTCTCTCTGTATCTCCATCAAACATTTTTTCATATTAGATGTCGGTTTCCTCACTGCTTTGTCTTTCTAATCTTCAAAACAGAGCAGTTTTGTAAAAGATTTCATAATCTGCCCCCACCCTCTCTCTAATGGAAATAAATCACCCCCCCCCCCCCACCACCACCACCACTCCCCCAATCCCCAACCATATACACACACCAGGGTTAAATTTCAGGTTCCCTGGTGGCTTTTGTCTGACTTCCGACCAAATATTTTTATTGTCATGTCTGGGGCTGAAACCGCTTACCTGGGCAGTGCGCGGTGACAGAGACATGTCTGTCTTACAGTCTCACTCAGCCCCCGTTTTACTTACAAAGCGTAGTAACTGTCAGTCTGAATATTCAGTGTCTGCCTGCCTGAATATTGTATCTTATCTCTGTGAGCGTCTGCAGATATATATATATAGAATATATGTGAGTATACGTGTACTCCATGTGTGTGTATGTGTGTGTCACTGTCTGCAGATGTGTGTTTGTATATATAATCATACAATTATACAGCACAAAAGGAGGCCATTCGGCCCATCGTGTCTGTGCCGGCTTTTGAAAAGAGCTTCCAATTCCCCCACTCTCTCCCCATAGCCCTGCAGGCTTGTCCTCCCCAAATAATTTTCTACTTCTCTCTTAAAAGTATTCATATTTGAGTGACTATGTGTCTGTCACTGTGTCAGTGTGTGTCTGCAGATGTGTGTGTGTGTGTGTCAGTGTGTGTCTGCAGATGTGTGTGTGTGCGAGTGAATGAACGTACAGTGTGTGTGTGTCACTATCTAGATGTGTGTATATCAGTGAATGTATGTGTGTGTGTCTTTATGTGTCCTCTCTCCAACCCTACAACGAATTGACAATTGACAAGACGATAGTTTTACTGCACACATTGCCCCTGAAGCTGTTGACATAACCCACAGTGTGTGTGACTGATTCTCTGCACCTAGTCCTGGTTCACATCAGGATCACAGTGTCCTGACCCAGAGCTCCACAACAAGGCGCATTTCCAAGCCATTTCTCAATTAAATGTTTTTGGGGGAATCTCCCACCTCACCTGAGAGCCGTGTGTGACAGTGTGTATGTGCGACTGTGTGTGTGTGTGAGACAGTGTGTGTGAGACAGTGTGTGTGTGCGTGACAGTGTATGTGTGTGTGTGGGAGACCGTGACGGTGTGTGTGTTGAGATGGTGTGTGTGTGTTTGTGACGGTATGTGTGGGTGTGTGTGTGTGTGTGTGTGACAGTGATGGTGTGTGTGTGTGTGACGGTGTGTTTGGGTGTGTGTGGGTGTGTGTGTGTGACAGTGATGGTGTGTGTGTGTGTGTGTGTGTGAGATGGTGTGTGTGTGACAGTGACGGTGTATGTGTGTGTGACGGTGTGTGTAACGGTGTGTGTGTGTGTGTGTGTGTAAGGACGGTGCTCGTTTCGTCAGTGTTTTTTCTATCTGGATCCAATCCGGTTTCTCACCCAAACAGCACTGAGCCGAGGCCGCTCTCTTGCCGCCATCCAGCGGCCATGAGAGGCAACATCACCCTCCTCCCTCACACACACACCAGCCTCAGCCACTCACTCGCTCACTCACTCACTCACTCACTCCCACCCTCCCTCCCTCCCTTTGCCATATCAATATGATTATGTTGTCGTTGCTGCTGTTGTGGTCTGATTCCGCGCTCCCTCAACTGTTTGGCCTGAGGAGAGGCGTAATGTGGTGCATAATAGCAATTGTCTGGTGCCTTGTGTCCGATAGTAATTAGAATAACAGTAAAGTATTTAGTGGGTGAAACGCGGCAGCCAATTTGTGCAGAGCAGTGTCCCACATGGAGTGAGCGACAGATTTTATTTGGGGGATTTGTCGGTCGGGACACCATGAGGAAGAAACTCCCTTCTCTTTTCGGATGGTGGCATGGGATCTTTAAGGTCCACTTTGATGGGACCTCGGTTTAAACGTCTCACCCGATGGGCGGACCACGCGAATGATTTGTCAGTGTTATTTTCGATCTGAAGATACAGACGCTTGTTGAAGAAGATATTCCACCAGCCCGCGGTCTCACACTACCAGCTTCCCATTACATTAAGCTGCTTCCTCAATGAATGTGGTGTTCTGGTTTTACCCACCCTCCCTGGTCAACCATTCCAGTTGTTAATTACCCTCTCAGCTCACAACCACTTCCTAGTGTCTGTCCCGAGCT